AACTTCTCTCCTACGACAAGTATAACTTGTCACCCTTTCATTCTTTTTTATCAGCTTTCTCCGAGACATTTGAAGAATCACGAGTCACTGAAGTATATTAAATTGAAAGTTCTATTTATAATGTATCGTATCATACAGTTTAATTTCAATGCTCCCACCATTTTATTGGATATCATTGAACATAATGTGACTCCAGACAAAGCTTGTCCATTAAAGAAAAGAATATACCTTGTTCTGATTTTGATGGGCCTATCCTACCTGAGTTTGCGATACTGGCTAAAATATTGTTCGGTCCCTTGCAAGTCCATGGCTATTGTGAAAATAAGTTGTGGGTTGAATAATCGTTTTGACATGTCCTACTGAAAGATTGGGTGACTTCCAATCATTCTACAAGTACACACCATTAGATTTTGTTAAAATACAAAAATTGAAAATTTGGATTTTTTTAGAGGGTCAAAAATTAAAAGTGAAGTACAAGATTTGGATTCTTTTTCCAAATGAAAAAGGAAATGTCCTATGCTCAAATCCGATCAGAGTTGAAATAGCAGAGTTATTGGTCCCCAAACTGACAAAAGTGCCAAAAAACGACCAAAGTGTCAATTTGATGGGGAATATCTCTGCCATTTCGATTCCGATCGTCTTGGAGCATAAAACATTTTCGTTTTCTTTTGTCAAGATGACCCCGAAACAATGGTTACCTTTTTACATTTCTCCTGAACCCTTACCCCCCCTCCCCCCTCCAGCTTACGTAAATAAACACGTAAACCGTTCGAAATATCACTTTCGTTTCTTCTCGCCGGACACTCGCGAAACTTCGCAGGCTGAGTTCCGCAACTCTAAAACTAAAACTAAAACACTCGGTTTGACAATCCGACAATTTGATCACTTGTGAGAGAGTCAGAAAGTCTTGAAGTGGCGCAGGTGCCGTTTGCGCTCTTTGCCCACTCGAGTGCAGTGCTGCCAACACACCAACAAACTACGCGCGAGTTCAAATTAAACTATTGGATATTTGAAACTAAACAAATCCTGAAAGTAAATGCATTTGAAACTGCCCCAAGAAATGTCAATGTTTGAACAATTTCGCATTTCGTCATCGGTGCAGCCGTTTCGTAGTCCATTGAGTGAGTTAGACACAGACAGACTCACGACGGAGACAACGCTTGACCCCTCAGCGACTTGGACTGAGCTTCGCTCAGCGATAAGGTAGGAGGAAATGTGGACGATGTGGCATGCGACAGAGTTCTGCAAAATCCCGGCCCCCCCTAGCTCAGCCGTGAACAGCCAGTTTTGGGTGGTAAAGAGGGGGATTTAGAGGAAAGTGTCACTTTTCATCCGGATGATTTTACCGAAATCTCAACGGATTGCACATTTACACCAGCGTTTTTGAATCATAACTTTCAAAAATCAATAGAATAACAAAGATATTTTCCAGGGTAATGTTATTCTACAAAAAGAGCTCGTACAAAATGGTAGTGCAAAATGTAGATAGATACCTTTCAGAAATTGCCAGGTCGTACAAACGCAGGTCGTTCAAACGAGATAGAGCCCTCTTTCTACAATGTGCCATTCCTGGCGATGTGGTAAACGGAGTTTGAGGAGGCTGCCCTTTTAGTGCCGCTCCCACCTTCCCAGGAGAAGCTTCGCACCGCCCACCTTCCCGGATGACTGTGGACCATAATAATATTATTTGATATCCCCCCCCCCTTCCCCCTCGTTTCCGCCTACTTCAAACAATGCCCCCCTCCCCCCTCTCTCTCTCTCTCGCTTTCCCTCCTCTCCTCAAAACTAAACGTGTGCGACTGACACTGCGAGGAGCCGATGATGTGGGTCAAGTTCTTCAGGTCGCGCCGCGCCACGCCTTCTGCGCGCGCAACCTGGCCCTGGTGGTCCCTGCACAAGACAGTTGTGGGCACGGGAGCGATGTCGCCGACTTGGCAGACGGAGGCAGCTTTATCTACCCCTCCCATTCCCCCCCCCCCTCCCCCCTCGTGAAAACTACTCCGCCGCCCCTCCGCCAGCAGCTCCTTCAGAGGGCCGCGCCACCGCCGCCGCACAGCCGCAGCGTGGAAGGGCTTTGCTCCTGCAGACCAGCTCCAGTCCATTATTCTCTTTCCCTCCGACAATTTAATCGCGCCGCTCTCGAAAAAAGTTTCAATGGTTCTAAACAAAAGCAAATCTACTTTTAATTAGACTCCCCCCGCCGCGCCCTCTCTCAGCCGTGCTGCTGCCGCCACACCTTTTCAGCCTAGCTGCCCACCTGCCTTCTGCTTCTCCCCAGGGATGCTTTGTATGACGTGCTCGCGCCCCCCACCACCCTGTCCCCC